TGTAGTAACATATGAGCTTCTAAATAATATGATCAAATAACAATATCCAGTAGTGAATGAGGCTGGCAGAGCAGCATAGTGCAGAGACAGAGCCAACTAGATGGCACCTCACAACATAAGCAACAGTGTAGGTCTTCTAACTAGAGTATTTTTGAAGTAGTGATAGCAACAATTGGTTTGCAATGTCTTCCATACATTTAATGTGACCCAAAAAACCTGTGACAGAGGTTTGGAACTGATAACTTCTGAGGCTTCTTGTTTACATTCATAACTAAGGAAATGCTAAATTGCAATAAGAGTTTAGTAAAAATAAAGATGTAATATTGTTCCAATCCAAGTCTGCCCTGTTATAGAACAGAGCCCACTAGATTTCTGGTTCAGAACTCCTGAACGCTACTGGGGAGGCTCTGGGTGCTTTCTGAAGTCTGCAGAGCCGAATTCAATTGCAATGCTTCATAATCGCTGGGCTGCTAACTGCTAAGTTTTGAAATTTTAGGAACAGAAGGCTTCTGTATACACTATGTGAGTTAGGAGTACTGTAACCCATGTTAGGAATCACCTATTTATTCAGACCTTCTCGGAAGTCAAACTCTAGGAACCAAAAGGAAACCAAAAGAAGCAACCACTACATTAAAAAAAAGAATCATCTATGAGACAGGGAAACAAATATTCCAGGAGCTGATTCAAGGTTCTCTTCTTGCCTTTCTTACGAAAACTAATTCCAAATGAAATTACCTAAGGACTGCCTTAGATGAAAAATGTGACTTAGAGTTGCCTATTTAAAATCAGACTTTTTTTTTTCACTTTTAAGAGCACTCTTAAAATATTTAAACAAATACACAGGAAAAATATTTCAATAAACACACACAAAAGAAATCTGAATCTACTGCTGTTCAGCGGAGTCCATCTCATTCAGTTTCCAGGATTATAAACCTTTACAAGAGCAGACAGCTTCATGTTTCTTCCTTGGAGTGGCTGGTGGGTTTGAACTACCAACCTTGTAGTTAACAGCTCAATCAATGCCTAGCCCACAGTGCCACCTGGGTTCCTTAAAGAAATGCAAGGGCTTAAATAAAATATAAATTCCATCATCTTTTCATTTCATTTTTACAACTAGCTTTTTGAAGGCACTGCGGGTTAGTGTGCTGGTATGCAAGACTGGTTTGAACCGCAAGGTAGGCTGTTCAAGCTCACCAGCTGCTCCTTGGAAACCCTATACAGGGTTGCTATGAGTTGGAACTGACTCAGTGGCACTTAACAACAACAAATGTCTTAGCTAAGGCTACCTAATATTTTCAAATTTGGATTAAACAAGGTATTAGTTTTGTTTGTTCTGTGAAGTGCCAAAGAGTTGGTTCTGATTTATAGTGACTGTGTATAGTGACTGGTGGTATAAAGACCCAACATTGTGGTTGGCAGACCAGTGCTTGTCCTATAGTGCCACACCAAGGTATTACTAGATGCCACAATATGGGATAAGTGCATGCCCATTTAATTCTTCACCCATGGAGTGAGATCTTCCCCTTGAGGTAAGCCAGGAGTTAAGGGATCCAGGTTTAAACTCCACAAGTGGGGTGTAATTACTATCCATAACACCTATTTGCACTGCCCCACTGAACAAGTGACATCTTTTCTAAGACTCAGTTTGCAAACCTTTAAGTGGTAATAATGATAATAGCATTGCTCTTGTGAGTCTTTGAAGAAGATTAAGTGAGGAAAGGTGTATATAGCACTGTTGTTATTGTTAAGTGTCGTCAAGTCAGTTCTAACCCATAGCAACCCTGTTTAGGGTTTCTGAGGAGCATCAGGTGAACTTGAACTGCTGACCTCGCAATTCAAACCAAGCTGGCAGTCCAGTGCATTAACCCTCAGTGCCACACCAGGACCCCGTGTGGAGCAGTAAGTAGTCTCTGTTGTTGTGAGCCCTTGAATTGGTTCCAACTCATAATGACCATGGATAGGGTTTCAGAGGAGTGCTTGGTGGGTTTGATAAGCAGACCAGTGCTTATCCTACAATGCCACATCAGGATTCCTAGTAGTTATCATACATATATTCAAAGATAAAGATCAATACAATCTCATCTCTACCATTAACTGCTATTAGTAGCTTTGGTTAGTTGTTATGTGCTGTGGAGTCGGTTCTGACTCATAGTGACCCTGCATAGGATTTCCGTGGCTGTAAATTCTTATGGGAGCAGAAAGCCTCATCTTTCTCCCGTGGAACAGCTGGTAGTTTCGAACTGCTGACCATGAGATTAGCAACCCAAGTCGTAACCACTATTATTTTTTTCCAATGATAATTCTGAAGAGCACATTGCCATCAAAGACAATTTGGAAAACACAGAAAAGCTTAAAAGAGGCGATAAAATTTGCCTGGATTTGTACTTCTCCACTACAAAAATAATGGAGCTCTGGTAGTGTAGTGGTTACGAGTTGGGCTGCTAACTTCAAGGTCAGCAGTTCAAAACTACCAGGTGTTTGACGGGAGGAAGATGAAGCTTTCTGCTCCCATAAAGATGTACAGCCTTGGAAACCCTTTACAGGGTCACTATCAGTTGGATCCGACTCTCTGGCACACCACCACCACTAACATCATCAATAGTAAAAGAAATGCTAGTTTAAATTTAGGAAAAGAAACGATGACACTACCACATAAAACCCCAGCACTTGAATACCATGGGACATTCTACTTTTGAATTCGGGAAGAAGAAAAAAAGCATACATTATTTCAAAATACAGAAAAAAATTGCAAGAAGCCCAGAGAGAACCAATTGTTGTAGTAATGAATTAAGGAAAGACACCCAGTTTTTTTCCTGAAAGTAATATAACGAGAGCCATCAGTAATAACAGTTGGGGGTACAGTATCCAGAGATATAGGCAAGTTGTTGTTAAGGGCTGTTGAGTCAATTCTGACTCATAGTGACCCTGTATAGCGTTTCCAAAAAGTGGCTGGTAGGTTTAAACCACCAACTTTGTGGTTAGCAATCCAGTGCTTATCCTACAGTACCACACCAGGACCTCATAAGCAAGTATAGTGAATGATTTTAAATGTGTCCTTTAATCCTGCAACACTAGTACATTTTTCAAATTCAGAAACTATATTGTTAGAACTCACATGTTTTTTTCACTTGGTAACTTAAAAAAAACCAACACAACTATGACAATCTAGAAATGTCATTGCTGTAAAGTAGATCAAACCTGGTTAAAAATAGGATGACAGGCAATTTCTACTTTAAAAAAGCCTCTAAGAAATAGGTTTCACCAGTTGGGTTTGCATACTTCTTCCGAGGTTTTCATTTTCACTAAGGTTTAGTTCTCCCTTTTCCTGATCCATCTTTCCTGGTCAACAGTGGGGGGCTATCTACACACATGTCGGAAGCCAAGTTATACTTTGCCTGCCTGCTATGTGCATGCCTAGAGCTCTACATGAGTTTTTAAGAGAAAATCCAGATATTTTAATACATTCAGGAGCAATGTCATATTCTTCCAGATCCCTTTGCAAATGGCTAAAATTCATCATAAAGAAAATTGGATCATTCCTAAGGAGCCCTGGTGGCACTGTGTATTGGCATTGGGCTACTAATTGTAAGGAACATGGTTAAAACTCACTAGTCACTGAGTGGAAGAAACGTGAAGCGGTCTGCTGCCGGAAAGGTTTAGTCTCGGAGACCATACCTAGGGTTACTCTTAAACAGCTGTGTTCTGTATTCAATCAAATGAGTTTTTTTTTTTTTTTTTCACAACTTCTGAAAAGCATTCTACCTAACCCCTTGCGTTTTCCCCGTCCACTGAAGAGATGAGCAAATTTAAACTTGATTAGGAAGTGAGTTGAAAATCCAATGAAGCTTAGGGATCAGCTTCTCCTAAAATGTTCCATCCTGGGCCGCCTTCTCCGGGACACTTGCTGAGATGCTGGTTAGGTGCATCAGGGTGGCAGATGGAAGTAGCACCCATGCCATGACCAGTGTCCTTTCTGTCTTTTGTCCTGTGAGCATTGAGGAAACAAACACAGGTGCGAAAGGCAGGTCTGCTTTCATTTTCATTAAGTGTGTCCCAATAACCTCATAGTAGATTATTAGTCCGTCCCTGGGGTGGTTGGGGTCTTGGTGGCACAATGGTTAAGCGCTCAGCCAGTGGCTCTAAACCACCAACCATTTTATAGGAGAGGCAGCCCGTTTCCCTAAAGATTTACAGCCTGGGAAACCCTATATTGTTGTTGTTAAGTACTGTGGAGTCGGTTCCGACTCACAGTGACCCTGCACAGGGTTTCCGAGGCTGCAAGTCTTTACGGGAGCAGAAAGTCTCATCTTTCTCCCACGGAACAGCTGGTAGTTTTGAAGGGCCAACTTTGAGGTTAGTAGCCCGATTCGTAACCACTACGCTACCAGAGCTCTTTGGGAAACCCTATGAGGACTGCAAAGTCTACTGCCATATACGTGGCGCTGTGGGCTGATGCATCAAACTGCAAAGTCGTTTGAACTGCAAGTTCGGTGGTTCAAGCTCACCCACTAGCTGCTCCTTGGAAACCCTATATAGGTCGCTATAGGTCGGAAACGACTCGACGGCACTTAACAACAATAACAACAATAAGGTCACTATGAGTCGGAATCAACTCTCGGGCAGGGGGTTTGACATTTTGGTTTGAGTGGTGGGAAGTGGGTAAGCGATTTTAAGGGACAAAGAAGACTTTTTAACTTGCCGTCTGGCAACCAGGCCTAAATTGGGAGACGCTGCCCTTTTGGCCCAAGGGAAATACTCCGTGCCGCAAGTTCACGTTCCTGCGCCCTCAACATCTCGCACGGCTCAACGCCCTTGGTTTCCGCGGACACTCTGGGCCCTCCGCCCCCAGGACCACGAGGCAGGCGCGGGCAGTACCAGGCCACCGGGCCGCCAGCCCCGGCCTCCAGGCCCGGTCGGCGCCGGCCCGCGCCCGTCTCTGCTGCCCCCTGCCGGCTGCGCCCGGGGCTTTCGGAGGGCGCCTTGGCCGCCGGTGTGGTTACCTCTTGGGGATATCAAAGGCCCGGCACACGGCTGGGCGTTGCGGCCCCGCACACTTGGTTTTCCCATAGCGGATCAGGTCCTGGAAAAGCGGGCAGCCTGGGAGCAGGCCGGCCGGCACCAGCTGCAGCAGCAGGCTCAACAGGAAGGCGGCGGCCAGTGCGAGCCACAGCACGCGCAGGGGGTTCAGCGTGGAGAGCTCAGCCCCCGCCCAGGGAGCCATGGCCGGCGCGCCGGATCTCCGCGCACCCCGTACCGCCCGACAGCGCAGTACCAACTCCTAGCGCCTCGCGCGCCCATCTGGGGCGGGCGGGACGTCGGTGACGCGATGCGGGGGCGGAGACGCCTCTGACCCCGCCCGAGTCTCCTGGCTTAGACAGAGCGCGGCCTGCTGGTGAGTGCTGTTGGGTTTGGGTCACGCAGATCCTGGCCACTCGTTCTCAGTCCCGCCGCTGGCACAGAGATCATTTCCTGGATGGAACCCCCCCGATATAATTCCAGAAACAGAAACAAGTAAGGCCACGTGCCTACAAGTCTTTATTGTGGCATTATCTCTAATGCAAATATAGCACTTAAGGTTTTTTTGTTTTTTTTTTAAAGAGCCCTGCTGTCACAAAAGTTAAGTGCTGAGTTGCTGACCCATAAGGTGGCGGCTCCGCTGGAGAAAGACCTGGTATTCTACTCCAGTGAAGATGACCCACTCCCATCAATTTGATTTCAACTCATAGCATCCCAGTTTAGGATTTCCTAGGCAGTGTGAGGCTGTAGGATAAGCACTGAACCTCAAGGTTGGCAGTTCAAACTCACAAGCCGCTCTTGGGAAACGCTATAGAGTCGCTTTGAATGAGAACCGACCGGCTTGATGGCACTTAACAACAACAACAAATCTTGACCAGAACAGATACCTTCAACTTTTTCCAATGGAGTGGCTGGTGGGCTTGAATTGCTGACCCTAGCAGTCCAGTGATTATCCTGCAGTGCCCTCAGGAATTCCTACAGTAAAGATGGCAGCTTAGGAAACTCTGGGAGGCAGCTACTTAGTCACATGGGTGGCTATGAGTCGGAATCAACAAACAGTACAGTACACAACAAAGATTTTAACTAAATTATAGTACACCGTGGGTTGGAACTGACTTAACAGCTCTTAACAACAACTACAACAGTTTGGAGAAGCCCTGTGTGGCATTGGACGTTAAGGTGGGTTTGAACTGCACAAGGTCAGCAGTTCAAATCCTTGGAAACCCTATACTGGGTCACCATGAGTCATAACCAACTGCATGGCACTTAACAAGACGTTGGAGGAAGCTTGGTCTGGCATTGTAGGATAAGTACTGGACTGCTAAGCACAAGGTCGACTGTTCAAATCCACCAGCTGCTCCTTGGAAACCCAATACAGGGTTGCTATGATAGCACTTAACAGGTTGGAAGGAGTCCCTAGTTGTGCAGATGGTTAATGGACTAGACTGCTAACCAAAAATACTAGAGATCTCAATCCACCCAAACCCTATAGAGCACAGTTCTATTCTAATACACATGGGGTCACCAAACATTTTGAAATACATGCAGCCAATTATGAAGGCTGAGGAGGTACTGAAAGTGTCTTATGATAATTTAAACTGTACTAAATGGAAGATGACTATAAAAACAACTATACAAATATAAATGTTTGTATATATGGATAATGAAGGCAGGTCACACACAAACATTAATAGTTGTATTAGGATATTAAGTCCTAGTGTGGCAAGGTAGGATAAGTACTGGACTGACAGCTAGCAGGTTGGCAGTTCAAACCCACCAGCAAATTTTAGAAGCTCTATACAGGAGTACTATGAGTAGAAACCGAATAGATGACACGCAACAACAACAACATTAGGATGATGGGAATGTGGATAATTTAAACATGTAAAGTATGGTTTTAAAAAGTCATCAAGGTAGTTAGTTACATATAATATAAAAATAAGGTGGTTGTTAAAATTATCTTTTAAAAAACGACAGTCCCTTACTGAGGGGGCGGGGGGAGAGGATAGTGTAGGGGGCAGGCTTGCAGGGTATATCCTTTGGTTGGTTGATGATGCATGGAGGGGATTGTAACCATGGCAATGATACAATGTATGATAGAATGAATGTAAAACTAATGTTCTCCCATGTAAACTATCATATAATTTGCAATAAAACACTATAAAAAAAAACAAACAAAAAACGACAGTCCCTTGCCCACTAAGGAGTTCCGTTCCCAAAGGCAACACTTAATTCCATTCGTTTTTTCTGATATTTACTCCATGTAGTGACTGTGTATTGACCAACTGTCTGCCAGTTTGTCCTGCTATGGTGGTTTGCATGTTGGTATATGCAGGAGGAATCTATGCATATGAATTATGATGTTGGAGAAGAATATTAAAACTACTATGGGCTGCCAAAAGAACAAACAAATCTGTCTTAGAAGAAGTACAGCCAGAATGCTCCTTAGAAGTTGATGGTGAGCCTTCGTCTCTCATACTTAGTACATGTTGTCACAAGAACCAGTCCCCAGGGAAGGACATAACGCTTGGTAAAATGGAGGTTCAGCGTAAAAGAGGAAAACTCCCAAGGAAATGGTAGCAGCAATGGGCTCAAATATAATAACAATTTTAGACTGTCGAAGGACAGGGCATTCATTCTTTCATTCAGTTGTACATAGGGTTGCTATGAGTCCAAAATGACTCGATGTTACCTAACAACAACAACAACAAAATGATGTGGGAGCTATGCCACTGATATTCTGGATATGAGTAAGTTTCAGTGGAGCTTTCAGATTAAGTTGTACCAGGAAGGAAACTCCTGCCATCTACTTCTAGAAATTAGCCAATGAAAACAACATGAATCACTGTATATTGTCTGAAACTTCAACTCTTGTACTCTGGGGACCCTGATTGCTGGAGAAGGACATGTTTGGTATCGGAGGGCTGGCAAAGACATGGGGATGGCCATGGTGACTGCACTGATGGACTCAACAAACCAATGATCATACAGATGGTACAGGGACAGTCGATGATGCATTCTGTTTGTACATGGACTGCCGTGAGGAGCCAGAGCCAACTCAATGGCAACTAACAAAAAATAGTTTCTTCATCAACCCCAGTTTTAAACAAATGTGATTTGTCTGTTGCTGCCAATGAAGGTTTAGTTCTTTTAGGTAATTTTTTAAAAAAGCTTTTAAAATGTCGATTCAAAAAAATTATTTTATGCTGTGGAGTGGTGCAGTGGTGCTGTAGGATAAGCACTGGACTGCAAACCACAAGGTTGTTGGTTCGAGTCCAGCAGCCACTTAGCAGGAGAAAGATGAGGCTTTCTGCTCCTGTAAATATTTACAGCCCCACAAACCCTATGCAGGGTCGCTATGAGTCAGAACAGACTAGATGGCATTTAACAGCAGCATATGCCAGGCACTATTCTGAACATGAGGTTAGAGGGGTTTACAGGATAATGATGCTGTGGTTTGGGATGAAGGTAGGAAAAGGGAGAGGTAGCTGACTCATTACCTCAGTGAGATACTGCCCATGTATATTAAGTAACTACTAGGGAATGAGTTAAGTTTATGCAGTGTCGACAATCCCTTGGATTGCTAAATGCACCAGTTTTTTAGATTTTTATTTTCTTTGTGCATGGACGTCTCAGTCCTTATCAGTGCCCTTTTTGCCCTATGATAAAGGATCATCAAGTTGTACTTCCGGGTCAGACACTGAGGACTTTTCTGTGACCCTGGATCTATTCTTCAGGGGTCACACCTTCGTTGTTTCTTTTTTTTATTTTAAGTTTTTATTGTGAATTGAGTGATAGTTTACATGGGAGAACATCGGTTTTACATCATTGTTTCATTGCACTGATTAGTCTCCTCCGTGCATCATAATTCAAACAGTATTTGCTTCTGTTCCCTCTGTTTTTTGGGTTTCTGGGCTGGGGATGCACACCAAAACACTTAGGAATATATACTCATTTAAATGACCAAAGGGCACATTTTGCAATCCTGCCTCCTGGCTGCCAGCACTCAGACTTTCTCTCTCCATCAGTCTAGAGTCAGTCCTCAGCTGCTCTGTCTCTCCATGTCCTCATCTCTGCCTCCAACTCTGGCGTCGCTGCTTCTCTGGATAGGGTCCCATATTTCGCTCGTGCTCTTCTCCCTTGATGGTACTAGGGTCCTCCGTTCCTGGACTGTCATATTAACTGCTCTCCCATTTTTGTTACAAAACTTCTACCTTTATAGTTGTGACAGTTGCAGTTAGTCATGATAACAATTACTCACTATTGAATCATAAGAATCTTATTCCCATCTCTTTTCACCAGACCTGTCTAGACAAGTCTTTATTGTTTTTAGGTTGTTAAGTGCTGTCAAGCCGGTTCAACTCCTAAGGGCTAGTGAGTTTGAACCGCTGACCTTGTGATTTAAGTGACTTTCGGTCCAGTGCTTATCCTACAGGCCACACCTAGACTCCCCATAAATCTTTGCTGGAGAAGAAAGCCTCATCTTTCTCCCGTGGAGAGGCTGGTAGGTTAGAACTGCTGCGGTTAGCAGCCCAATGCGAAACCAGTATGCTGCCAGAGCTCCATGTTTAGGTGAACCCCACAGAAATACAGCTGACCCCATATAAAAAAATGAAGTTCTGATCCATGCTACAAGAAGGATGAATTTTGAAAACATTATGCAGAATGACTTGAATCAATCTCAATCATAAAAGGACAAATATTGTCTCACTTAAATGAAATATCGAGAATTGGCAAATGCAGAGACCAAATTTTATTAGTAGTTTACCAGAGGTGGAAGGGGGAGCATGCTGGCTCCATACCATAGCACTGAACTGCAATCCACAAAGTCCACAACTTTAGGTCACCAGCCTCTCTATGGGAGAAAAGTGAGGCTTTCTGCTTCCTCTATAATTGAAAGCCTAGGAAACCCTATACAGTCACTATAAGTCGAAACTGACTGACTGACCGACTGTACTTAACAACAGCAGCGGGGGAAGGGAAGTGCGGAGGGGCAGTCATTGCTTAGGAAACATTGAGTATCTGTTTCTATTGATGGAAAAGTTGGCACAGATGTTGTTGTTGTTAAGTGCCATCAAGTCGGCTCTTACTCATTGCGACCCTGTATAAGGTATCGGAAGAGTGGCTGGTGGATTTGAACCTCCGACCTTGCAGTACAAACCGACATTGTGGTCCAGTGCATTATCCTGCAATGCCACAACAGGA